AAGATCTGTGATATCTTAGAAATCTTTAGAACTTAGAATTTGGATCCACTGTTGTTTTTGCTGCTGAGAAGATCTTTCCCTATTCTTATGAACAAACTCCTACTCATCCTTCAAGGCCCAACTGATCTATTGCCTCCTCTGTGCAACCTTTTCTGACTCATTAAGTTAGAGCAGCTTCTTATAATAGCACTTACCACATTGTATAATGATTTATCTGTTTACCTCTTATTGCCCCACCCCCACTCCAACTATCCTGGGAGATCCTTGTCTTTTCTGGGTTTATCCTAGGACACACTTAGCATAGTGCGAACAGGAGCTACAATATTCGGAGTAGAAGCTCAACAAATGAATAAATTCACCCTGCTTCTAAAAAAGCAAATGTTCTGTTATTGAAATGGAATGTTTGAGTGGACTAGTTTAATTTTTTGTATTATGTTTTATGAGATCTTCTTATAGGGCATTGAGATCTTTGTTGAAGAACTTTGCTCATTTAATTCTATTAATTGCCTATATACAAAATACCTTTCTATATTCACTTTTCCTTAAAAATTCTTCCCAGTCCTGCTGATGAGTCAGCAGCTGAAGTATCAGGAAGTGAATCTTTAAATATCTTTTAAATACCTATAATTATACACAGCAAACCCACATACCCTTCTCTGACCCCATACTCTAGACTTTGGTTCTTTTCCTCCTGATTTTCAATTCAAGAAGGAAAATGTAGAATGACGTGGGGTGGAGATGGCAAAAAACAACCAGAAGTGAAATGCTCTCCTTTCTCAAATTTGTATAAAATGTAAAGCTAGAAGAGATGTTAACAATTACTAGTCTAAATCTTTTTTAAAGAATAGATTATTTTTTTTCTGGAAACATGACCAGAAGTCATAAAGGTCCACAGGTTGGCAGCAAATTAATGGCAGTCAGACTAGAACCTACCTTCCCTGAGTCCAAGGCATGTGTTCTTTCTCTCACTTCACACTGACGACTTATGAAAAGTGCAGGTGTTGTTGTTTTTAAGTGTATCAAATATGCTTTGGATCTCTGCAAGCTTCCATTTCCGTACATGTAAAATGGGGTTAATAGCAACCTCATGGATGGTTGGTTGTGAGAATTAATAGGTACAAAATACTGAGAACAATACCTCACCAAAGTAAGTGACTACAATTTATTATTGTTTATCCTTAGTTAAGGTTTAGGCCATGACACTCTTGATTATTGAAGGACTTACTTGTCTTACGGGATTAATTTTAAATTTCCCCAATGTTATTTTGTTTTTCTCCCCCCTATTCCAGTGATGGCAAACCTCATTTTTTTGGTTGATTTTTTCTTTGTTAAATGGCACTTAAATATATAAAATAAATATCAAAAATATAAGTCTTTGTTTTACTATGGTTGCATATATCAAAAAATTTCTATATGTGACACGGCACCAGAGTTAAGTTAGGGTTTTTCAAAATGCTGACACGCCGAGCTCAAAAGGTTCGCCATCACTGCCCTATTCAAACAATGCTACAAGTATAAAGACAGGCCATTTGCTGTGGTGTCTGAATGACCTCCGTGTATGAAATTAGCAACTGTACTTTCTAATTGTAGGATCCTGGATAACTTTCTTAACTTATCTGAGCCGAAGTTCCTCATCTGGAGGATGGGGTAAAATAACATCTACTGTCCTTTTAAGAGTTGCTGTGAGGCTTAGAATGGGAGAACAGATGCAGAGTGCCAGCCTCGTGTCATTGTTGGGTCCTTCCTTTCCCCAACGCCTCACACAGATGTCTGGTAATATCGACAGATGTTATATGGCCCATATGGATGTCAGATCTACAAGGGTCTATTTAGAACCAATCCATCTAATGCTTTGGCCAATGGGAAAAATACATTGGCCTTTGAAGGTTAAAGGTAGCAATGCTCTGTTGCACACATGCAGGATGCTTGGAGTGCAGTTCTCCAAATGGATGCTTGTTTCCTGACACGCTGTAAGGCTCCTTTATGAATGTTAACATATCCAAGTACAAGTTACATACTACATATGTTTACATTTTTAAAAATACAGATTGGCTTACTTTTTATTGACATCTATTTTAGAAGGGAACTTTGTATCATAACTAACGCTAGTTCTAGATTTCCTAATGCAGTTGGCCCTTGAACAACACGGGAGTTAGGGGTGCTGACACCCCAGCAGTTGTGCATGACTTTTGACTTCTCAAAAACTTAGTTGTACCTTGGTTTGCATCGGAGGATTGGTTCCAGAACCTACTATGGTTACCCAAATCCGTGGATGCCCAAGTTCCCTATATAAAATGGAGTGCATCAATGCATACAGTCAGCTCTCTGCATCTGCAGACTCCCAACCACAGCTCAAAACAGTACAGGCATTTATTGAAAAATAATCCCCGTGTACGTGGACCCGCACCGTTCAAACCTGTGTTGTTCAGAGTCAGTGGTACATAAATCTGTGTACTATCTAAATCTCACTTGCCAATTTTTACGGTTATCTTTACCCTGACCTCAGGGACATTCATAATCAGGTCTATCAGCACCTGGCACAGAGTAGGTACCACTGGCCATCTGTTCAGTGAGTGACTGCCGTAGACCTGCCCCAACATAGCAACGTGTGGATCCAGTGTCCTTGTGATATCACATGGTGAATGTCCTATATCAGATTTAATAGGAGGTCTTTCATAGGAGGGAGCTCTCACTTCTGTCACTAAGCAGTGTGTGTGTAGAATAGGCAGGGGGAGGAGGGCGGACCCAGAGGCCAGAAGTAACAACTGGCACATAGCTGTCTCAGCTGCACATTTCTTAGATTCCCAAACTCATGATCTTACCATTAAGTAACTCAACCACTTAAATTACTTGCTTTCATGATGGAATGGATTGCCTAGGAGTATAGAAATGTTTCATATGTAAAATTAATTCTCAGTGATACCTAAAACTTAATTTTTTTCTTTATTGATTAAGGTATTACATATGTGTCCTTACTCCCCCCATTGCCTCCTCTCCCCCTCCCCGCCCCATACCTAAAACTTTAATTTCCATTCCTTTTCCTAAGCATTGCTTTCTCCATAGTTCTATTTTATAGGGCCAATGGTTTTCTATGGACTTGTATATTAAGCCATTAGCATTTTTAGGATGAACGTTTTTTTGAACTTTCATTTTCCTGCAGGGCAGAGAAAATACTAGTTTCTTTAAAAACTGATAGTGGAGGTGAGGGTTCCTGAGATCAACTGTACATGTTTGCCCAAGGGTAGCCTGCAGATGAACAACCTTTAATAGATGTGAATGACTCAGATAAGGAGATAGTCATTGGAGAAACAAAAGGGCTCTTCTGAAAACAGAGGTTATTAGGGGTTGGCAGTGGTAAGAGGGGTAGAGGAGCAAGGAGAATAGAACTGTACTCTGAAAAACAAGCTGAAGGCGATAGTCACACCAGGTTGTGCAGAGACGGTTAGAGCTGATCGTGGGACCAGGTTCTCCAGTCAGAGCTGTAAGCTAAATGTTTGCAAACTTGGGCATAGGGAAGGAAGGAGGGAGAAATACTCAAGACTGTCTACCTAGCTTTACATAAGGTGGCTTATAATGAGTATCCATGTGTTATGTGTATTTTGCCAATGAGAAGCTGATCACTGCTCATAACCAGGAGAGTTGAAAGGCCATGTGACATGCTCCCATCATTACCTGCAGGTCTGAGCTCCTTGTTCATGACATTAAGTGTAACATAACATCTGCCGTGATTGCTTACATAGTCTACCCATTTTGGCCTCATTAACCTTCCTCTCTTCACCTTGTTTTAAGCTCAATGCTACCCAACCCCATCTACCATCCCCCATGCAATTGTCTTCCATCGAAAGTCACAAGAACTTCTGGTAATTTGGCCTGTGCCAGAGAGTGTTTGTCAGTTGTTGCCTATTTTTCAGGTGAAAGTGTCTAAATTCTTCAGTCCTTTCCTAGAAAGGAAGAGGTGACTATCACGTGCTCCTATCCTTTGTAGTGTGTTGAGTACTGGTTCTCAGAAGCAGAGGCCACCTCTGCCCAGTCCATAACCAGGTGCTCACTGGCGGTTTTTCCCTTTTTTGGATGAAGTTGTCTTTCCTTCATCTCCGTGGGAATCCTAGCCCTAGGGAAAGGGGTTGGGGAGAAGGCTGGGCACCTTCAGCAAACGCTTGGTGACTATGAGTCATTGCGAGTCTAATGACCTTCCCATTTGTTATCTGTTGCCATGGTCACTGCTGGGTCTCAGCATGGAAAACAGCCCTCCACACATTGGGAATCCTTGTCACTCCCTGACAACCTCCACTGACTTCCTGTTTCTTGTGGGACAAACAGGTAGTACAGGAGACGCTCTGCACACGGGCTTTTGAGCTCCCTTTTTTCCTCTGTCATTTCCTCCTAAGACTTCATTCCAATGCTTAAAGGGTTTCTTCTCTGAAGACCCAGCTCAAACATCACCTCCCTGATAAGTCTTCTCATGTGGAACCTCTTTCTTCTGGGCTCTCATAGCACTGGGCATTCCCCTGAATTATGGCACGTTTCACATGGTGATGCAATTATTCTCTCTATGTCTGTGATTCCTACCCTCCTCACTCTAGACCAGCCGTGGGCAAACTACGGCCCGCGGGCCGGACCCGGCCCGTTTGAAATGAATAAAACTAAAAAAAAAAAAAGACCGTACCCTTTTATGTAATGATGTTTACTTTGAATTTATATTAGTTCACACAAACACTCCATCCATGCTTTTGTTCCGGCCCTCCGGTCCAGTTTAAGAACCCATGTGGCCCTCGAGTCAAAAAGTTTGCCCACCCCTGCTCTAGACTGTCAGCTTCTCATGGGCTGATGTGTGTCTGATTTGAGTGTCATCAGAGTCTGCATTCAACACCTGGCTCTCAGCAGGTGCTCAGAAAGTGTTAACTGAAGGAATGAAGGGAAAGGGGAAGAGAACTGGTCTTCTTTTCATTTGTTCAGCCAAACACGCGTAGGATGACACAATGAGGCACTGACCCAGGACATAGATCAATGGTGCTTTAATGAAACGTCTTTCAAATCTGTGAACATGTTAGCTGCAAAACAAATGCTTTTATTCTTTCCATAGGACAGATTTCCAAACAATGATCACAGTGTTTAGGTTAATCAGATGCTGGACAGATGAGTAGCCAAAAAATTTTATAAAATAACAAGATCCCATCAACTACATATCAAATTTTAACGAGACATCAAGAGAATATATGTTTATAGTTACACAGCTAAAAACAAGACATTATTACAGCAATCAAGTCCACAAAACTGGGGAAAAAAAGGCTGTATGACAAAACGGCCTTTCATAAGCTATTAAATGAGCATACATGATAGACAAACCAATTTTATATCTGAAGCAGCTTATAGCACCAACACGTTGGCAGACAAGTATTGGGGTGGGCCCTTGGACCGAGGCATCTGAGGGCGGGAAGGGATCTCAGCCATCATCTCCTTCAAGTCCCTTGTTTTACAGAAGGCGAAGTGGAGGCCCGGGGAGATGAAGTGCCTTGTCCAAAAGCCATAGGACACAGGGACACAGAAAACGATCTAAGCCACCCAACTTAGGTAAGTGCTCTATTTTAACATACATGTAATTCTATTGATTTAATGCACTTTTTCCTATTAATAGATACACCATAAAAGAAATCAATACAATTCAAAACATAGTCTGTATTCTGTTTATTTTATTGAGAAAGGACCGGCATGTAGTGTAATTCACTTCTTAGACCGATTCATTCTTAAAATTGGGTGGAGTCACTCAGACGACACTTTTGTAGTTGGAAATCGGTTGAAAAGAGGCATGTGAAGAGCAAATTTGGCACGTCCCCCATTACCTAAACTAACCTATGTCTCAAAATCATCGGTACAATTCTTTTTCTGGTAGTTTAAAAATCAGTCAAGTACAAAAACAGTCCAAATAAAGAGAAAGCAAATCACACCTTTCCTTTAAAAGGTAAGTATGGCACTTTTTATTTTAATAAAGTAAGGAAATATAAAAACCTGATTCCTTTTAGAAAAAAAGTACTTACAATCTATAACTTGGGAACCACCTGGTATACAGTGTTTTCTCTCTAGAAAATTCTTTGGAGTCATGACATTTTGTCTAGCATGCCTTGCCATGATCCTGAGGCCTCAACTGGACAGATTTATGATGAATGAATGAAGATATAAGAATTAAAAAAAAAAATCACTGTTAACAGAAGCAGCATCAAAGACAAAGCAGAGTGAACATATTTAAATGGCTTCATAGGTAGGAAGCCAAAAAAGCTGCATGTATATATGTGATTGTGTGTCATTACAGTGGTAGTCGGAAAAATAACACACACTGGGCATTTGTCCATCATCATAAACCAGCTGCTGCAGAAGAGGTGAACTGTGGCTTCATAAGGAGAATGAAGCCTGATAAATAAAAGTGACTTCTGCATATCATATATATGTATACATATATTATATTTTCTCACATAGACATCTAGCTATAAGTAAGTCAGCATTTAGCTACAATTCCCCCACCACCCCTTGGGTCCAGCATCGAAGGATTTGATTTCACTTTTCTTGAACAGGCCCTCTACCTAGTTAGGAAGTTATGTGACAATTATACTTATGGCCTTTATGCCTGGCCAGCAAAAATAAAATAAAATCTCCTGGGACCTCAATTCCATTCCTTATCACTACAAGCATATGAATAAGCATATAGCAAAATATATTTGTTTTCTGTTAGGTAAAAGAACATGTCTGAGTACTGAAGAATAAACTATGCCTGCTACCAAAATTGTGCACATACCTGTATAATAGACATAATTGCATGAAAATACTTTAACAAGACATATTATAAATATTTAAGGAAACATTAGTGTTCTGAAACTACCAGAAAAATATACCTATTTAAAAAAAGAATATCTCCTTAAGTGAAGCATTTAATGTAAAGTTGATTTTTTAGTGTACATTTCAAAGTTCACCATTGGAAAGGTGGACCGTTCTCCCCCCTGGACAGGTGGCTATCACTCATTTGGGAATTGGCCATGTTGCAGAACCAAGCTCCAGATGACAAGAGATGTAGGGCAGTGGCGAGATTCACATGGTCTTGGAAAAACGAGGGCAGTTTATAATGCTGAATAGATGGGTGGCGTGGAGAAATACTGAACATATTTGAGCAGTTTAAAAAATAGTCCTGCGTTTGTTTATCCACGATTACCATAATACTCCAAGCCCAGACATTCAGTTTTGAAAGGGGCTTGCACTGTAGGGCAAGATTGCACAGAACTAGGAAAAATCCGTTGTACATAATTCCTTCTTGGGGCTGAGTCCTTTTTGAGAATATGTTTGTAATCCTTCATTAGTAGTTATTTTGAATGAACTAAAGATGAATTAAAATATCAAAGGCCAAGGGTATGGTTTGGGCCCTTAAGTGAGCATTTAGTAAAAAAAAAGAACCTCTCCTCCCCTTTGACAAAGTTAACATACTCTCTGATTAGAGGAGGTTCCTTCTTGTGGGATCCCCGCTGGACACTGTGAGGAGGTGAGGGCTGCACTTGTGCCCAGAGGAAAATCAAGGAGCCCAACGCCCAGCGGCTGGAACCCTTGGTCCCGGGTCATATGCCACTGAATCCACGTCTCTCGGATGGTCTGTGGACAAGGTAGGGATGACACTGACACTGCAGATGTGTGGGAAGAGCTTGTGTCTTAATGCCTTTGTGTTTTTTGTTTGTTCAGTTCCCACCATGTTCCACCCACTTGGGCCGGGGAGGTGAACATTACCTCTGCAAAGAGTTGTTCTGGCAGGAGAGGAAGATAAAAGGCAAGGCAGCGAGAAAAAGAGGAGCTAAGTCACAAAGTCTGATCAGGAATAGCAGCTGGCTTTCAAACACCCCTGCTTCTCTCCCTGCCAGGCTCCTGAGCACCCTGTCTGCCCCATTCCCATCAGTAGGGTGGAAATTTCAGAGGTGTCTACCCTGATCCAGAGACCGTGAGCCCCCGGCACACCTGCCTGGTGTCCTCCCCTTCTCTCGACTCAGGATCACTGAAGCCGGAAAGGCCTCTTGTGAATGGATACCTCACATTATAGCAGGGCGTTCAGGTCACTTTAAACATTTTAATTGGCACAGTGTATTGTGGCCGGAGAGGGTCAGCAAGAGATGACTTCATTGCTTGATGGCAATGAATACAGCCTTTAGGATGGCCTTTAGTTTTTGTACAGTAACTATATAAAAAGAGTTTCTTATTCTACTCACACATAGCTTAAGATAAAGGGATAACTTCTGGAGCTGAGGGACTGATGGTGTGGAGAGCATTTTATTAAGCAAATAAGCTTTGATATGTGTATATACAAAGACACGTATATATATCTATATACACAAAACACTCCTCATCCGTATATACTGTACAGGTTGGTGCAACCCTATTAAGAACACATTATAATATAATGGTTTAAGGACTTAAGTTTTTCTTGGCATTTTCATCTAGACAGGGGCTTAGGTAATTTAGGTCTTGACATAAATGGATCATTCATATAGTTGAAAGCCTATCTTTGTGTTTTTTAAAAGGCCCAGAATGACATGCGTTAAGCAGCAACCCAATATGACACCACGGTTACCAAATGGAAAACAAGATTGTTACTTTGTATTAGATCAGTAAAGGGTATTTCAGAGAAAGGACAACTTGGAAAATAAAGACTTCAGAGTCTATTATTCCATATTAAGAGCATTTTAGTTATTAGCAGTGGTTACCAAATAAGCTGAAGGTACTTCTCTTCAAGGAGCTGCTCATAATTTGATTTGTTGAAGAGATGCGAGGAACTGGTTCACTCTCCTCTATAAGATGATGCACGTTTTCTTGTCCTTGAAAGGGTTTTCTGAGGTTGGTATCCCCATCAGCAGAGGGTCATTCCTGGCATGCTCCTCACAGTAGGACATGAGATCGGCTGATGCCTTTGATACCTAACATGCAGACAAGAAAGAAAGGGAATGCTTTATTTACAAACTGGGGGGAAAAAGTGTTTGAATGCTCATGCATTGGGTGGAACCATCAGAGAACAATGTCGGTCGCAGATTCCTTCTTAAAAGGGGGAAAGGTACGTTTAGACGGCGAAATCTGGCGGATAAGGCCTTCCTTAATCAAAAAATAAAACTAACATCATCTATCTCCTACTGTGAACACCAGCTAGCTAGTGTTCTGCCAGAACATTTAACTGGAATCTAATCGTCAGCAAGCAATTCCATCTCGACTGAGGGCCACTCTGCAGAGAGAGTGGCCTGGATTCTTCATGAATGAACTGTGTGTTAGATAATCTCAGCGGATCCTGAATGTTGTCACTGTATGGCGGTCATGTAGGAGAATGCTCTTGTACTTTGGTGAAGTATTTAGGGGTGATGAGTCATGATGTCTGCCAATAACTTTTAAGTAGTTCAAAGAAAAAAATTGTATTTTGTGAGTGTGTGTGTGCGGGGACAGAAAAAGAGAGGGCAAATGCTAACAATGGATGAATCCTGGTAAAGAGTACATGGGTGTTTGCTATTACAACTCTTCCATAGATTTGACATTTCTCAAAATAAAAAGTTGGGGGAGGTAAGAAAAATAATGAATCAATGGAAGATTGTATCTTAGTTTCTATCTCCCCCCTCCCCACCCCAAAAATCGTTTAGGATGCAGAACACAGTTAAAAAACCAAATTATGGGTTTAGAGCCAAATACTACTGGAGTTTCAAGATATCCTGATTGGGCTTGGGAAAGTAAAAAGAGACAAAGCCAGCATGGGAGGATGCAGGGCCTCGCTCTGGCTCGAGTTAAAAATGGAAAATGCCAGGCCCGGTTCAGAGGCTGGTGGGAGATCCCTGCGAATGCTCAGACCAGTGTCCTCAGCTGAACCCTGTCAACCTCAGCACAGCAGGCCTCGTGTTTTAAAGACAGGTGACCATCTCCAGGCCCAGAGGAATTTATCAGGTGACGGCTTGAGTTTCTAGGAAACAGCATTACTCACAACATTCCAGGGCACTCACCGCCTAGTCCTTCCTTGGGATTGGGGGGCGGGGGGGGGGGGGGGGGGGGATGGGGAAACTCCTAAGTCAGGTGACCTAGCACATACCTTCCGGTTTCTACCAGGGCTGGCATGGCTCACCCAGGTGCAGAACGTGGCTACTAAAGCCCACACACCGTTAAAAAGCTGCATTCTCCTAAAAAGGAGACCCCGATTGCCGACTTGTGATGCAGGCCTGCCTCAGCTGCACCGGTAAATCAGAACACTTAATTCCAGGGGGATGACGAGGAATCCCTGTGCCAACATAAAACCCAGCAATCCCAGGACCTGACCGTGTTGGCTCAGGGAAGGTAGGCCCTCAAGAAATCCTGCCACAGGTTTTAGGTTTTCTGTCCCAATAGAGAGGCTAACTCAGACACTCTGGCTCCCTAGTGCTTTTGAAATGGGGCCTGTGCTTGGTAGAAATGAAAATTAAAGGGATTAAGGCTTTCAGCTTGTTCTAGGAAAATCCCGGCACCAAGCTGCATTAAGTAGCAACACCTCCTCTGAAACGCAGCCTGGCCTTCAGAAAACACATCCAAGCAAATCATCTTACCTTTATTCTCTCGATGGAAGCTTCTAGTCTTAACTGCTGCACAGTTCTCCTTGCCTGGGTGATGTTGTTGGTGCTTGCTGTTTTGCTTGACATCTTCAATTGTTGTTTTTACCTGAAAGCTGGAGAGAATTTTTTAAAAGGTCAACAACAATCATCTCTATGTTGTTTAAACATTTTTAATGCTTTGTGTTACCTTAGGGGGAAAGGATGCATTTTCCCAGTCAACATCTCTGAGGTACCAAAATACCCCTTGGCAGTGAGTGGTAGCCTGGGTGTCTAAGCTTGCTACCCATTTGAGCACCTTCATAAATCTTCGGCCTGCAGAAACCCAGTACTAGTTAGTAGTTTACTAGTAATCCATGCACCCCATATACAGCACAAAGTAGCCTGTCCCAGGATTTTCCAAAGGAGAACAAATATACATAAACTTCTGCAGTAGGTAGAGGGCCCCCAGCAAACGTGATCATGTGCAACCCGAGCCACGGTACGCGTGCAGTTAGCACCACTGCTGTGTGCTTCAGTGGAAGGCTTGGTTTCATTTCATTCTGGCTCTCTTACCCAACTATCACACGGATGCAAGTTCTGGCAACAGAAGATGGCAAAAGGCAGTGTCCCTGGAGAACTCTGCACAAAGGGTGCAGTTTTAGGTGCCACCAGGATTTGCAACCGTTGGGAGAACATTGGTTAGGCAGATAAGGACGTCTTTATCCCAGTGACAGACAGATCCACAGCAAATAGCAAGCGGGGGTAAACTGAACAGCCCGACATATTTAATGAAACTTAATCATTCCCTCCTTTGACCTCTCGGGCCTCACCCTGGCAGCCAGGGCACTTGCTAATCCTGCACTCACTACATGCTCCCCGGGTAACTCTCCTCGCGGGCCTCAGCCCTTGGGTTCTAGGCTGCCTCTTCCTCCCTTTCCCCAGCCACCCAGTGAAAATCAAAGGAAGCCTCCTGGACCTTGAGCTTCAACCTATCTGGTTGTCCAGTGGTATATTCTAAGGGGAGGGCAGGCTGGAGCCCTGCCATATATGGCTAAGTTCTCTCTGGGCCTGGTGGCGTCTGCAGGGAAATGCAGAGCTGGCAGCCGTGTGGCAGTTCTATGACTCATAGGAGCAGGCGGATGACGGACGGTAGGTGTGCCGCTGGGTGCTGTGCGAGGGCTGAGCAGTCTGAGGGCACGGTGGCACCAGCAGCAAACCCAGGTTGTCTCAACTTTGTGGAGGGGCCACAGCTGCACAAAGCATGTCTGCCATCAACGCTTGGACCAGAGAAGGCTGCAAAACACAGGTGACCTGTGCGCTCCGCCGTGTCCACCAGAGCTCCACACTTAGAATGCTCCCAGTGGCTGAGGTCAAGGCCCGAGTTCCACACTTAGAATGCTCCCAGTGGCTGAGGTCAAGGCCCGAGTTCCACACTTAGAATGCTCCCAGTGGCTGAGGTCAAGGCCTTGGGTAGGGCTTCTGCCCTCTGAGGTCATAGGCAGCCTTGGGTCAAATGCACCAATAAAACTGTGGGCAAAACTCTGAAAATCCAGCCTAATCAGCAAGTGTCACATTCCTGGGTTTGGACCCTCCCTCTGCCTCACACTAGCTGGACGAAACTGGTTCCTGAAACAGGTTACTGAACCTCCACGAGCCTGGGTTTTCTCACTTGTAATATAAGGATACAATTATTTTTTAAAAAATATTTTATTGATTTTTTACAGAGAGGAAGGGAGAGAGATAGTTAGAAACATCGATCAGCTGCCTCCTGCACACCTCCCACTGGGGATGCGCCCGCAACCCAGGTACATGCCCTTGACCGGAATCGAACCCGGGACCCCTCAGTCCGCAGGCCGACGCTCTATTCACTGAGCCAAACCGGTTTCGGCAGGATACAATTATTTTTGAGGATCCAATTTGCTGACGCACACGTAGTGTTTCGCATAGGACCAAGGCACTCTACGAACAGCAGCTGCTGTTATATTTCTCCTCGGGGGTCACACCCAGCACAGCGAACCGAAATTCCCTGTGTACCTGTCTGCCTCCCCTGGTCAATGAGCCTCAAGGGTTTGGACTGACTAGGTCTGGGTGGTCTATAGGCATCAGACCCCCTTTTTATAGCATCCATAGGCAGTTCTGCTGCACGCTAGTGTCAGGACAGAATGGAATGGTTCGTGACATCCAACAGAGGAATCCCCTGAAATAAGGAAGCTCTAGCAGTGCAGGAAGCTGGGAGAAGGAATGCTGGGGTGGGGCTGGTGGCTTAGGGTGACCTCGTTTCAATGCACTCCCTGACCAGCTGCCTCGTCCTCAGATTCTTCAGTCGTCCCGCCCCAACCCTAGCAGGCCTAGGAGGTCCTCCCGGGATTTTGCTCACACCCACTGGCCTGGCCCAGCCCATTCCTGTGCTCCCAGGCACGAGCTTATGAACAGTCTTTGAAATGGGACCCAGGCAGCAGGCAGGCTCACTGTGAAAAGTATGAAGTGCCCTGGTTCACAGCACGCTGCTTCCATATTTTGTTCCCTGTGGCACGTTACCCTGGACTCCCCTGCCAGCTGGCCCTGGTTCTGAGCACTGGCCCCCCAGCCTCCAGAAAGCGAACATGACACCCTTTCTGACGGCCTGTGGTTTCCAGGCTGCACCCTAAGGACTTTCTAAATGTTCCCCTGGCATGAGAATAGCGCCAAGCATTCTCCTCCTCTTCTCAGCCTCCAGGGCTAAAGTTTCCAAGGCCTGAGCAAGCTTTCCTGTAACTGCGGAACAGTTCACACAAATCGGGACCAGATCAGTCATTGCTCCCACCCGCATGGCCATAAGCAAATAGTCCGCAGTCAGGTTCTGTTTATAAAATGCTTGGGTAGGCCTCTCGAACACTGGCCAGAAACTTTGCATCTAGTACATGAAGGACTTTCTTACTTCCTGACTCTATTATAGTCACGACTGAAAACAGCCAGCAATTCAAAATGCACACCCGCCAGCATGGCTCCTTGCAGCTTTCCCCTATCCTGATGTCTGTGTTCTGACCTGCCCCCTCCCAGACAGCCTCCCCTGTCACCAGACAGCTTCTCCACTGCTCAGGTAGCCTGCCATTCCCTTCTGCCCTACCAGCCTCTCTCGGGCTCCCAACTTGAATACAATTTCTCTTCTCCAAGAATAAAATCTTATAGCATTCTTCCTGTGGAGAAATCAGATCAAGGTTATATCGTTTCAACTTCAGAAGCTGAGCTGCCTCTTGTCTGTGCAAGGAGGGCCACTGCTGTTAATGCTTGGGGAGTGGGGCTGTGCACAGGGGCTGGAGGGCCAGCTGGGGATTTCCTCCCAAGCTGCAGCTGCGGCTTCGCATCTCAACAGCTGGGCCTGAGCAGAATCGGAGCAAGAGGCTGGGAAACAAACACCTCTGCACCTTCAGAGGGTTTTCTTTGGTCTTCCCTTAATGGCAAGGATATCTAGAGCTGTTTGTTTGTGCTACTAGGTGGATGAAAAGCATGCTTTCTTCTTACTCCAAGAATAGCTTCCAAGGCAAACAATACCTGCTCTTTGTATGGGACTGTAGACTGCACATGGTGCTTTCATATGCATTAGTCCATGAAGCCTGGCTCTACTTCCAGAAGGTATATTAGGATTTCATCCTTGTTTCAAAGATGAGACAACTCAGGTGAGAAAAACTTGCTCCAAGCTAACCTAGTTTGTAAGCCTTTTCACCCCAGAAGCCACGCTTCCCACGGTACCCCGCAAAGGATGCAATGCCAAGAGATTTGATGCACAGACACTCGGGTCATCACTGAACAGTCCACGATGTGGTCCTTCATCAAGGGTGACCTTGATGCTCCAAGACCTGGAGTTCCGAGCTTGCCGACTGCCTCATGTTTGTGCAATACCTGTTCTGGTGCAGAAGGTATCTGTTTATCTGTCTAATGCCCTGGAGGACTGGTCCCCCCGCCCTCCCTCCCCCCATCCGCAAGCTAAGCAAGAATGTTCTTGCTGCTGCTTCTAGGCAAGGACTGAGGTCGGCATCTGGAGATCTCGAGCCACTCAGAAAGGCCAAGGCCTGTGCATGCCTGTGCAGACCTCCAGTAGCCTTGTTTTCATTTTTGCATGTGGCTAACAGATTTGAATAAACATATGTAGCAGTTAGCTATTCAGATAATTTGCATTGGTTTTAATGCTGTTGTTCATCTGAATTCCCAGGGTCCTAGGAATTCCTGGGAACAGAATGTCCCCTTAGGGAAATACGGACATTTTAATGTTTGTCTAGAGAGACCTGAAGCAGGGAGAGGTGGGAAGAATATCACACTCTGGAAGGAAGACACCAGGCAGCCCCAGGATCTGCATCACAAGTCACCATGGCCTGGCAGGGAATTGAATCACTTGAGCGAAGCCAATGCTCATGAGCAAACACACCCCTTGTGGCTGTTAGAAAAGAGCAGCCAAAACAAAAAACAGGTTCCCACTTACCCTCTGGTCTTGCCTTCAGCTATCAGGGTATTACTCCAGCTCCTGCCTGTCCTCTCATTTGTTAAAGGGGGCACACTCCCTATCCCATAGGGTTGCTGGGAGTGCCTATCAGTAATGCACCCTGTACATACACATGCTCAGTGAGTGCTGGGCCCCTTGGCTCGTTAACAAGGCAGAAACCATGTATGTGGCGAGACACAAGAGGAAAATTCAGGCAGCACAAGAAGAATTTCAAGGTCATATGACCAGGTAGCAACATCTTTCTAATATGGCAGGAAGTGTGGGGAGTGCAGAGTCAGACCCTTGGGTCTGACTATTTTCATGAACAGTTATTTTCTGTCAGGGCCTGTGGGCTGGATCCACCCCGCAGATGTGTTTGGTTGGGGCCCATGAAAGGTTAACTCTAAAGTATCTGTGTTTTAACATTACAGTGATTGTCAAAGTTTGAAAATGAAAGATTTCTGGAAAAGTCGGAGAAACCTTATAATCTGGGCTGGATCTGAGTAGTGGCTGCCCCTTCAACATTTGCTGGGCCCTCTAGTTGAACGTATGCTGTGGCCTTCCTTTATACTATGCCTTGGCTCTCTAGTTCCAGGCGTACTCAAGGATTAGGCCAAGGGACTTGAGCTCACTCCTGCCCCTTCCTAGCTTTGGGGCCCTGGGAAGGACTTGTCACCTCTCTAAGCCTCAATTTTCTCATGGGAAAAATGGGGGATAATAATACTTTTGTATCTCAAAGGACTGTTAAGATCAGATAAAATAAGCATGTGAGTGTAATAAGTATAAAGAGTACTTTGGCTGAGCATTAAGTATGTGCACCCTCTGATCACATCCCAGACAAAGTGCTCGAAGCACTCCACAGTCCCTGATGGGTGGCGCTGGGCAGCTTGGGTCCCTTGCTGTACTGCAGGGATGGAAAGTAAGAGTCTAAGTCTCCTAGTGGTATCAGCTGATTGTGCTCCCTTCTCCCCATTTCATATGTTGAAGTCCTAACCCCCAGTACCTCAGAATGAACTGTATTTGGAGACAGGGTGTTTAAGGTAGTGATTAACTTAAAAGGGGATCATTAGAATGGGCCCTAATCCAGTATTATTGGTGGCCTCATAAGAAGAGAGAATGCAGACACAGATGGGTATAGAGCAGTGAAGGCGAACCTATAACACGAGTGTCAGAGGTGACACGCGAACTCATTTTTTTGGTTGATTTTTCTTTGTTAAATGGCATTTAAATATATAAAATAAATATCAAAAATATAAGTCTTTGTTTTACTATGGTTGCAAGTATCAAAAAATTTCTATATGTGACACGGCACCAGAGTTAAATTAGGGTTTTTCAAAATGCTGACACGCCGAGCTCAAAAGGTTCGCCATCACTGGTATAGAGGGATAACCATGTGAAGACACAGGGAGAAGAAAGCCACCAACCAGCCAAAGAAAGAGGCCTCGGAAGAAACCAACCCTGCCGACACCTTGTTCACAGACTTCCACCCTCCAAACCACTGAGAAAATTCATTTCTGTTGTTTAAGCCACCCAGTCGGTGGTGCCTTGTTATGGCAGCCTGAGCCAACTCAGACACCAGGTTCCCCAGCAGCTAGGGCTCTGGGTGGCCCAAGGGAGAAGGCCACTCTCCTGATGTTGGCTCCTTTCTGCTGGCGAGCAGGGTGGTGGGCAAGTTGCTCTTTATGGAGGCGGTGGCACTGGTGTCCAGTCACTAGCAGTATGGTGCTAAGAAGCTGTGTGGCTGCAGCAGCCTCCCAACTCTTCACTTCCTGCCTGGCCCTGGGGCCAGTTCTGCGGTGAAGCCTGGAAATGGGTGGAGGGCTCCATGCAGAGCCCTCCAGGCCTGCCTTTGATTATGCAAGCACCCCGTCCCCTGAATTAAAGCCCATTCTGCTGTTTCCGAGAACGTTTCTGTTTGCAGTAGCTGAATCCCAACTGACACACAATTGTTAATGTGCCGTTTTGTGACCCGTAAATAACTTGCAAAGGTCGGCTATGATTCCTATTAGTATCAGGCCACTATTGCTGAATATGCTAAATCCCAAACCTTTTTTTAAAAAATATATTTTTATTGATTTCAGAGAGGATGGTAGAGGGAGAGAGAGAAACATCAACAATGAGAGAGAATCATTGATCAGCTAGCTGCCTCCTGCACGCCCCCAACTGGGGATCGAGCCTGCAACCAGGGCATGTGCCTTTGCAA